CATTATTTTGTCACTTGGTTTCTTGTTATCGTCTATGTTGTTAGGTTTGTCAGTTTGTTTGGAAATATAGCCTTGTTTTATGTCACTGAGCATGTTTGGATCTATGGGAATATAGATGGTTGTGTCAAGCCCGTTACATGGTTAGCGATTCGTGTTGCTCTTTCAGGGGTGACCGTTTCTAAGGCTCATCATAGAGTTTACAGTCGTAGTTGTTGGAGTCTAGTTGGTGTCAGATTTGTTTTTCCTTTGATTGATGTAATGATTCTGAAACTTATGATATGAATAGAGGCTAGTCTTCGTTCCAAAAATACAAAGGGCTCCTAGTATACGGAGTATATATAAAACTATTTAATTATATACACTGAGATGCTAGACTTTAGTTTAAATCTCGTACCACCTCGGTCCCTATAAAATTGGGACATTAGGGAATGATGTGGTTATGAAGAAAAGTGATTTGATATTATGTTGATGGTATTGAATTGATAAAATGTGAATAAAGTAAGAATGAATTACAATCGTTGAAATGATTCTAAATATGATACTCCGTATGAGACAAATTTAATGAAATGAACAAATAAAAATAAAATGAGACGATAGGGAAATTGGAGCACATAATATTGTCGCTTTTCTCATTCCCTCTTCCATGGGATTCATTAGAAATCTGCACGGGTAGTTCAGTTACGTTGATTGAGTGGTGAAAAAATTGAAGGAATGATTAAAGTTCGAAACTCGCAGCGACCGTGTGGAGGTAGACTTACAGCTTCTGCATGTTAAGCTGGACTTCTAGTGCGCACGTGTATAAAGTATATCACAATTGAGCTGACTGAGTCACCGTGATTTTGATCCTCTCATATGTCTTGTCGAGTCGGGATGTGAAGAAATTTAATCTTTTGAAAGAGTTGGATTCATTATACTTCTAAGTGTTAATTATATTCACTCATTACATGTTTTCATTATATCCCCTTTCTCAGATTCCTTTCAGTCAAGTGAAAAGACATCCTAAAATTGTATGGTCAATATAAAAATGTTGAATACTACAACAATATTTAAAATTAATTCCAAAAAAGTTTGGAGTAAGCTAAGAACCGATATCAAAGGTTAAAAATGTGAATAAGTACGAGTAAAACACATTTTAATTTCTATACACTAGTTAAAGTCAAAAGAGGCAAGTTAAATGGGCGTATTGTAAAAGGAAATAATGACAAAATTTCAAAAGTCCATAATTTTAAAAGTTTAGGTGTGTTTAATATAGACTTTTAAATTAAAAATCTAAAAGTGTATGTGTACTCAAATTTTCATTCATTCTTATGGACTACTAAAAACATATATTATTGTGCGCTTTTAATTCATTCTTACATTACATTACTTCTCTACAATTATCTCCTCTCCTCTAACATTTTCATTGAGTTTTTCTTTCGTCGTCTACTCGTCACAAGAACGCATGAACCGGTTTCACAAGAAGAAAAACTCTATTTTTTCATCCACTCATAAGCTTCTTTCTAAAGATTCAAAATGTAAGAGGAACCCTTTCTGTGGTGACCGTCTTCCCTTTTTGTAGGGGTTGAGATTTTTCGCCGCCCCTATCAATATGGGGTTGGAGCGGCAAATTATAATGATTCTAGGTGTTATAACACTTGGGATTGCAACTAAGTCGGAGAAGATAGCGTTGGCGGATGAACGAGGTAAGACTGGGAGGTCGTATCGAGGCGGGATCATGAAGCCTTGGTCGGCCATTCCGATGGTGGTGGAGTTGGTATTCACCCATATTGTAAGGGCTCATCGTCCTCCGGAACCACCTACATACCAGGAAGAGCTTTGTGGAAAGATTTTATTTCAGTATTATTCTCTCTATAGTAGCACTTGTTTCTGTTTTAGTCCGAGTAGATTTGGTTTGGATTTTCGGAGTTCTTTTGATAGGTAGGGTTTCGGTTCCGATCTTTTTAGGCCTAAATTTGCTCGTTTCAGGCTTAGCGAGTCATGTTGCTTTGTATGAGGTGGCTAACTCTAAGTCTACTCATAGGATTCATCATTGGATTTGTGAATTATGTCTGAAGGTTGTCTTGTATGTTTTCTCAATTTTAATATAACGGCCGCTCTTTTATTATCTTAAAAAGAAGAAGAAAAACTCTATTTTATTTGTGCTTGTACCGCATATAGCAATGAGTGCAGTTGTGTAACGATCATTATTCTTATTCATTGCCTTGTGTTATATATCAATGAACCAAATGAGACCGATTTGAGGAGTAATTGTTTCTTACTACCCCATCCCATAATTAATGTAATAATACACATGTAGATTTGGTGTGAGTTTTAAGGAAATAAAGGATAAAGTGATTGTTTTAATATTTTACAATTATAAACTTTAAAATTTAAAAAAAAAAGGTAAGATGGGCCCACAAAAACTAAAAGGTGAAATGATAGATAAAGGGTAAAGTCGGAAAGTATAAAGTTATTGGAGTTAAATTTAGAAATTTGTTCATATTTCTGGTGCAAAGTATCATTTTGTACAATAATGTAGTTCACCTCTTACAATGTTCAGACTTATGAATAGTTCTTGTTTAAACTTGTGTTTTTCATAAAATTGATAAATATCGTTCATGTGAAATTCATAAATTTATACAAATCAACGGAATTCGTTCATATACTCCGTATAAATAGCTTTAGATTTAGGCTGTGTTTGCGTTTGATTCTAGGAATCACTTTTGGGCTTTTGAGGTTAAAAAAGCTAGTAATGGTGTTTGCAAATTAAAAAAAAAAAAACAATCTTCTGCTTAAGTGATTGTGATGCAAAAGCTGGAAGCACCTTGGTATCTGCTTTTATCTGCTTTTAGGTACTCACGTAAATAAGTAGAAATTGTAGGACAGTTTTATCCCTCAACCTTTTCCCAAAACCCAACTTGACCCCCTCGATCGTACTTCTCTCATTTCTTCAAAATCGGTTGTCTTCTCCGTCCCTCTCTCGCCAAGCATCGCCGATGTCATCTCTTGGAACGCCGGAAATTCCAGAAGTGCAGCAGAAATGCCCAGTTCTTCGATTGCTTCCCTTTTACAGCTCTCTCTTCCCGTTAAGCTTCTCTCCACGTGAAGCGGTAACTCCCAGATTGTAACTCTCCACGACTTGAGCTTCACCCTCGCCACCAAATCCGTCTGGATTATCACACCCAGCTTCACCGCTGTAATGGCCGGAGACACCCACCCGCACGCCATTCCCATCAGAGGGAGTGATGATAAATAGGATGAAAAATAAATACTAGGTCAACAAAGGCAAGGACATTTTTGTATTTTCACCAAATATTACCTCATAAATCACTTTTTTATCAAACACTCCAGCTTTTACACTTTAAATAAAATCACTTCTATTTCCAAACACTATCTGCTTTTACTAAAAATCACTTTTCCAATAATCACTTTAAAAAATCACTTTGGAAAAGCACAAGCAAACGCAAACACTGCCTTAGAAATAAATGATTTTTTCTAAAACTCCGGGGATTAAAAAATACACCACAATCCATATTCAATACACTCATAGGGAGTGAGGAGAATGTGTGTCCGTTTGGTGACCCCTTTTTTCGACTTATTAGGCTTATGAGCCAGTTTTTTTACCAAACACGTAAATTTTGATTTGCGCGCTGAATTGTATAATAAGCAGAAAAGGTAAGGTTGAAATTACTTTTCTGGCTGTATTGGCTGAAGTTACTGTAGAAGATCATTTTAGCTATTTTTCATTTAACTTTTTATTTTATTTATTAATAACAAATATTTTAAATTATAATTTGTTCATGAATCAACCAATACAACCACTTCAGCCAGAACTTCATAAATTTCAGCAAAATCAACTAATTCAGCAAATTTTAGTGTTACCAAACGGACTATGTATTTGCATCACATAGGCATTTCAGGAGAGACAGGAAGTTTAATGGCTAATTGAATGAGAGCAGATGGATGAGCAACCTTCTCAGATGGCAACAGTACACATGTTAGGTTTTTATATCAATAGCTTTGCTTGCTTCATTATTATTGAGGGAGGGAAGGTTGGTGACGTAAATATATTGTCTCACTACAGTACTGTACTACAGTACGTATGATCATAGAAGGCTGTACGTGGAATATACTTATTTTGCTGCAAATTCCCTTTCACATCTATTAATTAATTCATTTCCTCATTCTTTTGGATTGTTTTTTAATACAAGAATTCGCCCTCTCCCCTTCTCTGTCAAAATGACCAGTGTTCATGAACCCGCGTAGCAGACAAGTACACATTCATTTTCCACACATCACCTTTTCAACGCATTGATCATATTATTCACATGAAAAGTTGTTAGTGTACATGAGTTGTATACAAAGTATACACAAAACTCTCTTAATTGTTTATGTACACAACCAATTTGTTTGAAAAGGGACAGGATTTAATATTAAAACCCTCTAATTGCCTGTATACACAGGCAATGAACCATTTATGTACACATTTTGTGTACATCAAGAATAGCTCTATTCACATGCCTCCAACCCGTTGAATCTTCGGGCCTCACGTTCCGGCCCGACACATGTCAGGATTCTTAGTTATATTGTCATAGTAACACAGTCAAACACATAAGCTAGAATAGTGTCCACCAATATCAAAGCGAGACACTCTTCGTGTATGGTGGTCCACCATACACGAAGAGTGTCTCGCTTTGATAAGTTCCTCACACACTAACACGAACCAAATTCGATCTTGAATCATTGCTTGAAATTTCACTTTATGTGACCAACTGAGCTGCTCATGCAAATCCCATAATTTGATGATTGTCACGCTCTTTGAAAGCCGTTTTATTCATGTCACATTTCCAATTAGTAAAATGCAAATATCTGAAAATATTTGGTGTGTTTATGTGAATTAATACTAAATTTATATTGAAAAGCGCATTGAAATGAAATGAATGCATTAATCTTGTTTAGACTTCACCGAACTGTGATTAGCCCTCGCTTAAATGGTAGGTCCACATTCGCTACACGTCTGGTGTCAATAGCTTCTCACAACATTATTTATAATATATACTTTTCAAACAAAAATTATTGGCAATAAAACTGGTCGACTGAAAGTGGCGTTCCATTTATTTGAGGTGCAAGTCATTATCGTGAATTATTACTCCAGCACTTTTGCTAACCGAGATTGAATACAACAACTGTTCTGAACCACAAAAACTATACACCAATAACTCAATTAACCACAGTTTCCGAACATTGAGTATCTTGACAAGATACTTGATGTAATAATCTAAAAAGACTTCACTAAAAAACAAAAGGTAATAGGCCTACAGACTGTTGATTGAAATTAGATCTTAAAGACCATTTCTGCAATGTAGAATCAGGGGCCTGCACCTTTCTATGCACAAATGAAACTTCATGATTTCCAGTTCGTCTTGATCTGGGATTAGGTTAATAATGATGGCTGGATCTTTGACCTCTTTGCTAACCTTAAATCAACAATGGTGGGAGGAGATGGTTCGAGAGATCCATGCATCTCCACCAACTCCGAGAACTCTTTCTTTGTTAGACTTTTCTTCTGAACGAGTTCATCCACAACAACATCCATAAGTTTCCAGTTTCGCCGAAGGATCTGTATGACAAATGAGGTTTTCTAGTTTTAGTTAAATGCTCTCCCATTTCAAATCAGATACTGTATATGATATTATGATTCATGATGTTGATACCTTTTTTGCTCGATCATAGCACATGCTAAGGATGCGTAATGCCTCTTCATCAATTCCCTGTAATCAAAATGACCCCTTTTAATAACACGTTTTAACCATGAGGTCCGAGGCTTCATGCTAAAATGACAGCATGATAAGATTATAGCAAGGTCTTATCCGTTGATTTAGATTTTTTATATTTGTTTAAAGAAAACCGTAAAGGAAGCAAGAGTGAAAGTGAATAAGGAATTGTGTAAAATTTGACTCTAAGGAAGGAGAAAAATATATTTACAAATAGGCTCGTCTTCGTGATCATAGGACTCAAGATATCGAAAAAGTTAAGTGTGTTAAGGTCTTAAGGATGTTGATCAAAGGGTACTAATAGAGGATGAAGAAATAAAAGAAAGGTGGAGGTCATACTTTGATACTTTGTTCAACAAGAATAAAGTGCATTATTTTTAGAGTATGATCTTATTTATCTTTATTTTTAGAGTTGATCTTATAATAGAGTATGATCCTATTTATCTTACTTTATCTTTTTATTCCTCTTATCTTTCTTCCCTTTTTCACTCTGATATCATGGATCGATTCATGTTAGCCGACCCCAAAAAAATTTTAGGAATAAGACTTGGATGTTGTTTAACGTGATGACTTAACAATACACCATCAAATAAAAAGACTTGAAGTCAAATGTTTGATAACTTAATATTTGTTCAACGTTATAACCGCTCACATATCAATTAAGACTTGAAGTCTGTCCAAAAATTAATAAAAAGATCAAATTGATAGGAGTAGTCAAATGTTTTTTATGGTTGTTTATGTGCTCCGTATTGTATATTTGTTCAATATGGGATGACGTAACATGTACCCTGGTCAGCATATATATTACGTACATAGAGAAATCAGTAAGTTTTTTTATGTTGATAAATAAAAACGCAAATATGTAGCTTTCTTTTTTCTCAAGAGTAATGACATACTCCTATTGTCAAACTTTTTCTCCCATCCAAATTATCTCCAAATGATGATGATGTTGCTGCATCTGATTGACTGGCACTTACAGCCACACTATTCACAGACAGCTTTGGTTGAAAACCATTTGATGAGAGTTAAATGTTTCGTTTAATTCAAAACGGAAAAAGATGTTTATACAGTACTTCTAATTTATTATGTACTCCGTACTACGTAGTATTTAGACAGAGAAAGAGAGAGTTGCGTACATTTATTTTCTCTGAGACCCAGAAGTTGGACAACCCATAATCTTTATCGGAAAGACCACTTAGAACAAAAGTCCTTGCAGCAGACCGTGCATTGTCCGCATTCTTGGCCCATATGGTACTGAGCTGCAATATCCAAACATGTTAGATACAAAAACCATCTGAAGCATGAGACGTATATTTTCTCAATCATTTAAAGTATTTCATAAGACTCCAAAAGAGCTAAGTTATATGAGTTCCTGCAATAGCGGTCTCATCATAAACTTTTAATAACTATGACTCAAAGATAAATGTTAGATATTCTTACTTGGCCTTCTCCATACCAGAGCTCATCAGCTGCACGTGGTGCTAGGTCAACAGTTATCTTATCTATGAGGGATTGCCGGCTGCATAATAACATTTGCGAGAAAAACTGAATGGTTTGGGAGAAGCATGTTGAGAAACAAGCAGTAATAAATCAAATGGAAAAATTCAGGAATGGAATATGTACCTCAGCATTCTATTCTTAAATTTGACATCATCCATCTTGATACGTACATAGCCTAGCTCTGTGCCAGCTCGTGGGGCGATGGTGATCTTCTCAAGCCAAGTAATTAATGCATCATTAGCATTAGTAAACGCACACAGCACACCTTAGGGTAGCTATGAATATATGATAATGATACTAAACTGAATGGAAGACAATTGGCTTAATTACGTTTTCACTCCCGGAAATAGAGCATTTGTTGTTTTAGGTCTGTAAACGACTTTGTGTTATTCATGTATTTTATGTTGTTTTTTGTCCCTCTTCGCCCTTCACAGAACTCCAGTTTTAATTTTTGAAATCCTTCAACAATAAATATATATTATTTCCAGCAAGCCACATAAAGGCATTAACCGAAAGTGGGCATGATTGGAGGTGAAATGATGAGTTTCGTACTGCCCAACTCCTCTAGTAATCGTAGATGGGACACAGAAGCTGATACGAAAAGTCCATATTAGAGTTTTATGAGCAACTTCAATTTTTAGCAAAGGTTGACGAGAAGTGACAAAATAAAACGGCATAGTTACGAAGATGGAATAACAGTAACAAGAAACTAACAAAGAAACACACTACTTGCCGGGATAGCAACATATTTAAGCCAATTTAATTTGATTGAAAGGCCTGGTTGCAATTTTCGTCCCCAAGTGTTGTTATTGTGTAGTTTTAAGTTTGCTTTAAGTTTGCGAATTGGATCCCAAACATACCTACTCATTAACAAGTAGGTTTTCCTAATTTTTAGCAATAAATCTGAATTTTAACAGAGGTGGCATGTGTGGAATTAGTAGAAAGCAACATGAACTACTTAAGGAGTGTCTATGTTTGCTTCTACTTATGAGAAGTGATTTAACTTAGGTATTATATGAAAAGTGCAAAATAGTAAACGAAAAGTGATTTTTGAAAAGTACAAATTAGACAGTTTGGTGAAAAAATTGTAACAGAAATGGTGAAAAGCAGTTTAAAGCACTTGAACCCCTTAGAGCTTTTAGCCTCAAAGTGCTTAATTTAAGCAGAAACACATATTTGAAAACAGTACTTTTAGCTGTTTTTAAATGCAGAAATAAGGTACAGAAGTCCTTTTTTAAGCAATACAAAACACTCATTGAATGAAGCAAGCAAGTTAAAGCAGAGAGCATTACAAACTCTACACTCTTGAGATCAGGAAAATTCACAGCAGCAACAGCCACAGCTGCTTGATTCACCGCTACTTGCTTCCACATTTCAAGACTCCTCTCCTTTCTATCCAGCATGCCCAGTTCTTCCATTTGTACAGCTTGTAACAAATCATCTGTTGTGATCTAAAAATAAAAAACCACAAGGTTAATAGATGTAAAGTTCCCGAAACAGCATTAAATGTTTGAGAGGATTGAAGGTGAGGGGTCATTATTGTTTTAATAATTACTACTCCCTCCGTCCCCCTTATATTGTCCCGTTTTACCTTTTCGGGAAGTCCCACTAAAATTGTCTCATACCATATTTGGTAAAGTTTGTGTAGCTCTAAATCATTCTTACTTTATTCTTACTTTATCAATTAATATTAACCACACAACCCCACTTTTCTTAATAATCGTGTCACCCTCTTCCATCCCAATATAAAAGGGACGGAGGTAGTATTACAAGTTGGTTGAAGGGGAAGTGATAGTGAGAAATTATTATAAAAACGGAGTTCATGATTTAATCGAGAAATATTTATTCTCTACTAATCACTAATAAATCTCAATGAGTTAGTAAAATAGACTTCACTCCTCCCCTCCAAAACCCCAAATCAAAACAAATCCTGAAAGCAGATCATATACTCCACAGAAAGAGATCTATACATAAATTACACGGCATCCACTGAAGTAAATGTGCATAGGATGATATCCATAAAGAAATAATAAACCTCCCCACATAAGAGTAATAAGTATTTCACTCATACATCCAACAAAAGCAAAAATACCTCAGTTCTTCCATCCCTCATCATATTGATTGCAGCAACCTCAATAATGTTGGCCAACTCTGCACCAACCATTCCATCAGTCACGCTGGCAACAGCCATATAGTCCACATCTGGATCGATTGGTTTCTTTCGAGCATGTACCTGGTATAAGGAGAGTTATATATGTGTTTACAAAGATTCATTATTTTTTGGCTTGAGAATATGATGGAATAAAGCAAAATGGATCATCAAACTGTTTGCTCTTCTTCGTTATGAAGCAGCAGTCAGTCCATGCAATTTTGGACGCGATTTTCATTATGAGTCATCCGGAAACAGTCTCTCTGTGCTTTAGTACAGGGGTAAGACTGCGTACATCCGACCCCCCCCTACCCCACCGTAGGTGGGAGCCTTTGCGGCACTGGGGTAAATGATGATTGATTTTTGACAAATGGAAGTACAATGAAAGAAAGCTTAGAGTTACAGCTGAATATAGACATAAGTCACATAATAACAGATACCAATTACAAATGAAAATGTCACACCTTCAAAATCTCAATGCGACCTATAAAACCAGGTATAGGAATATGAATTTTCCGATCGAACCGTCCTGGTCGAACCAGCGCAGGATCTAGAATGTCAGGTCTATTTGTAGATGCAATAGTAATAACTTCCCCTTTGCCTTCAAAACCATCCAAGCACACAAGAAGCTGTAACAAAATTTTAACAATCGGTAATTAATGTGGGCAGCACATTCCAATCAATGGAAAAAAACAAGTTTAAGAAGCGCCCAATACCTGATTCAAGGTCGCATCGCGTTCTTGCCCTCCGGAACCTTTGATCAAGCCACGTGCCCTTCCAACGGCATCCAGCTCATCAATGAACACAACAGATGGGGCCTAAAGCCACATTATTATCAGGATTGATATTGTTAAATTGGGTAACTTGCCCCTAGAATGATTTTCAAGAGGTGAGGTTTACCTCTTAGATACTACAGCCAAGCAATGTCGATAATCGACACACACCCCAACCCAAACTGGACAACTGGAAGGGTGGACAAATGGCTGTAAAGAGACTCCAAATTGGCTTCCCCAAACCATCAAGTGGGTGGTCACCCGACAAGCCACCATGGGACTAGGCTCATCTAACTCACTATAAAACAATCCTCGAAAGGTGAGGCTTATTTCACATGTTTATACTAGACCAGACTCAACCCAGTAGACAACCCATGTAACATTGTAAAAATCAACATGTGTCATATTGAAATTCAATGTACCCAAGTTTTGCAACAATATCACTAAGAAACCAATGCAATCAGGGCAGAAAAATGTCACCACCAAGGCACCCTTCCCTCCCAAAAAACAAAAGGTGATAAGGGAACACCTTGAATGAGAAAAAAGCGATGGCATAAACAAATTGCCAACAACTAAGATGGATGCAAATAAGTAAATAACATGGTAATGCGATTAGTAACATAGAAGTATAAGGCATGAGAAAAATGCGTCTGAATATAGAAATGAGGTAGTACAATGAGACAGAAATGCATACGTACATTTTCCCTTGCCTCTTGGTAGAGTGCTCGAACACGAGAGGCGCCAACTCCAACATATATCTCAACAAATTGAGACGCAGAAATGGAGAAAAAGTTCACTCCTGCCTCCCCAGCGACTGCTTTTGCTAGCAATGTCTTCCCCACCCCAGGTGGACCACAAAGGAGTATTCCTCCTAAAGCATTATAGGGTAACTAACTACGTATTAGGAGTTAGGAAATGAATGCCAAGTGCCAACACTACAATACCACTGCGAAGATGTGAGGTGGAAACAATTAAAAGCTGATTAAAAACTCATCAAAAAACTAGTCACATCATATTTTAGTGACTGATAGATTTCGTTACAGATCAGGGTCATTAGGTGGCTAAACATAAAAGTATCGAAAAGATAGATGTATGATTATCACTCCCCCCATCCCTATATAATCATTTCACTTTGACTTGGCAAAGAGTTTAAGAAATAAAAAATGTTTGATAGAGATAGAAAGGACTACAAGAATATGGATCATATCTTGTTTACATCAAAGGGAAAAGGAAGGTAATTTGGGGACAAGTCAAAAATAAAGTAGCAAGATAAAAAGGAAAGCCAGGGAGTATTATATTTTACTATAGTTAAAGCCTTTCAAGTTCAACTACTTCAATGCACGTCCTAAGTGCTTTTGTAGCCAATATCATAAACTCAGAATACATTTTAGTTACCAAACAAAGCTACCTGAGGAGTAACATATAGAATAAACCCAATGCAAATACAAATATTTAATAACACCAAAGACATAGAGGAAGCAGAGAGTATAACAGAAGAGGAGCGCAGTAGGAAAACACATTGTACAAAATAGAAAGCAAACTAAATCCAAACAATTTCAACTTTAAAAAAAAACTAGTGTCCCTGACATAAATCATACGGAGTATAATACTTTGGTGCTTGGGCTAGTACCTGGCATGCTATCATTACATTATAAAACCCCAGATGGTGAAAGTGTGAAACAAATTACAAGTTTACAAGTTCAGTTAGATTTAGCATTACAAATAGTAAATCATTGGTATCACTTACACTAAACTGAGAAACTACCACTGGAAAATAGACAAGTGAATAGAAAGCAAATAGTAAGGTGTCAGCATGCAATTATGAATAAGTAATAATTTCAAACATTGGTGCCCAGAATGTTTGAGTAACTGCAAGATTTTACAAAAAAAAAAAGTAGTTTGAAATAACTCTAACCAGGTATTTTGATTCCTCGCCTGCGATACATATCCCCATGGGTGAAAAACTTGACAATCTCCTCCAGCTCAAGCCTAATTTTTCCAAGCCCAGCTACGTCAGAGAACTTCACATCTACGTCAGGTTCTAAATATTGAGGAACTCTCTTACTACGAATCCTTCGGACACGTGCACCTGATTTCATGAACTGCATTGCCATCTTCATGTATTGGTTTTCCTCACTTTTTTGTCCTTCCTCCTCTTCATCGCCACCCTCAATCCCTTCCATTTCTCTTTCCAGTTCCCTAATCTTCTTTTTTTCCTCAGCTTCTGCTTGCTGTATTTTTAATCTGTCCTCATAATCCTTCTTCTGTTTTCTATAACTTAACACAACCGTTCTGTAAAATATGTAGAAGAAGAGGAAGCCAAGAGATGTCGTGACAGTTGAATCAGAAGCTAAGTCACCCCACAATGTTGACATCCTTTTAGAATTCTCTGCTGCCCTTTGCAAGGACTCCTGATGCTTGGCTTGCTGAATCTCCCTCTTCTTCATCTTCTCTTCCATCTTCCTCTGAGTCATAATTGCCTTTTCCATCATCTCCCTCTCTCGCTTCATATTATCTATCTCCTCCTTTCTGCTCCTCACAATCTCTTCCCTTGCCCTTTTCAACTCTAACACCTTCTTAGATTGTGGTTTGCGGGGTTTAGAAAGTGAAACAAACCAAGCTGGAATCTTCCCAAAGAACTCTAAATAAGGGTTGACAGTGTTCTGGGTCTTCAATGGAGGGGAATACGCATTCATACATAGGTCATCTATCTTCAACTCGTCCCATTGAGACCAAAACTTGGGATCGGTCACTGATGAAGGCAACACGATCCTAACAACCCTAGAATCATCCAACACAGCCAAAACAACCTCGGGTCGCTGTTTCAGCCCCACACTGGGAGGCTTGATAATGTGCTTAAGCTTACCGTCTCTCCTCAAGTCCAAAATTTCAGTATAGGGAAGCCTATGGCTCACGGTGGGGAGACCTTGGGACCATTTCTCCAGCTCCAAAGGCGTTAAAGCATCCGACCTTTTACTGGAACGTTTCCTTTCGGATACTTTATTAATGGCAGCTAATGAGGGCAGAGCTAGCGAGGATGAGATTACAGTTAATGTTACGGATAGGTTAAGTAAATGCAATGGACTTCGACGGAAGTTGAGTTCCTCGTCGGCTTCTGAATTTCTGAAATTGCAAGAGATTCTTAATCGAATTGCGATGTTGCTATGATTTCGCTTGCTGAGGGAAGGGAGAGAAGGAAGGAATGAAGAAGTAAGAGTGCTTCTACCGGTCATCGTGATTGTGTGAAAAATTGAAAACCGACGAAAATGTAGAAGCTTAAAAATGTCTTCGTCATTCCATCCTCTCTGCGCAGATTAAAATCCTCATCTCAGCTCAGTTCATGAGCTGGTAGTGAAAGAAACGGAATCGGTGAGCGCTGGAGGGAAGGCGGAGGAGAAGTATGGCCATTTTTGGGGCTCACTTGTTTATTTTTGCATTATTATTTAAATTTTACATTGCTCTGTGTCTTATTTTCTAATGTAGTAAAAAAAAATGCATTGATCTCGATCTATCAAAAAAGTTTTTCATAAAATATACTCCGTACGTAGAAATAATTTGCAGTACATATTATGGACTACTCCGTAGTACTATTATCAAAAATGATCTTTGTACTTACTCTTATACCCACATTTGTACTCACCTATGTTTGTGAATGTTTTTTTTTGTTTGTGAATCCCGGCTCACATACAATATTTTGCACAAACAAAATATTGTCTGTGAATCGGGTTCACAGACAAAAAAAAACATTCACAAACATGGTGGATATAAGTGGGGTATAAGAGTGGGTACAACAAGCATTGTTGTACTATTATCATCATGGTTATCGCGAAAATATTGATCCAATTATTATCATAATTTACAATAAATATCGATTCAATAATTATTATCACTAGTATTCGTGTCGTGCACGGGATAAAACAGTTTTGTTTTATTTTATTATATACTTCGTATATGTGAGTGTGCACACACTGTCATATGTATGAGTTATTAGAATTAACATAAAGTCCCTTATTTAGTCGCAAAGGCGGACATGAGGCACTGGGTCGGGTTGAGCCAGTACAAAAAATATTTTTAGAAAAGAAATTATACGGAACTTTTTACACTAAAAATATAGACATTTTTTAATTTTGGGATGAACAGGGGCCTAGCTCTACCCCTATTTAGTAGACTGAACATTAGTGTTGATAATACATATTCTTATTTATTGAGTATGTCTTATTTTTTAATTAATTATGTTTGCATCAGTCTATATTATCCGATTAAAAGAGCTAATTATTTTATCTCTTGTTGCATTCAAATGAACTTCGTCTTTTCAACCATGTTTATCTGAACACAAAAAGAAATTGTTCAGTGCCTATTTTATCCATTAGATTTCATTTGTAGCTTATTTTTTCAAAAATAATAACTACAATTTTTTTTGTAACTTATTTATTTCATAATTGGTGTGGTTATTGTTTTTGAAGATATTAGCCCTTTTAGAATTTAGAATTGAGAAAACTAATCCTTCTATCTCATTCTTTAAGGAAAGAATCCATAATATACATTTTGTGACATTCTTATTTTAATGAACGTGATGGCAACGACACGTCGACAATAGGCCGGCAACAAAACGCTATTGATAGCGGTCGATTTATAACGCTATTGATAGCGGTCGATTTATTTCTCCTTAGATTAATTTAAAATAAGTGTTATTGAACGAAGAAATGTTGCATGATTTAGACCTTTAGGATGCAATTTTTACCTAGAAGTTCAGCTGAATTAAATCTATAAAAAGATTCTCACATCAAGTACTGGTAGGTAAAAGAATTACTCTTCATAAACAGTCTAACTTATTTATCTAGCTCTTAAACACCACTTTTAGTATCATGATTTGATTGTTATAGAATTAGTTAATAAAGCTTTCAGAGATTAGAATCTCTTGACAAAAATATATCAAGATTTATGTTAATATTTAATATATACACTAAAGTAAAAAATAAATTTTACTTTCATAGATCAGATCAAAGAATTGTTTCCAATGTAAAATATCCTTAATTAGAAAGGTGAACACAAATTTTAGATATCATCAAGACCAAGAATGATCAGGTCCCCACGTTCGGACAGGACCCTCCGTCCGAACATCCTCGTTTGGGGTCCTTCCCGGTAGAATTTTTTGATGAAATTTTTTGAGCATGTTCCTCATCAAGTCTAGTTTGTCCATACCAAATTTCAGCTCAAAATTCGACCGGGAAGGCATTCAAATCATTTTTTGAAGTTGACTGCGTTTTTATATGTATATTTTGACGCAGTCAACTTCAAAAAAATGATTTGAATGCCTTCCCGATCGAATTTTGAGCTGAAATTTGATATGGACAAACTAGACTTAATGAGGAACATGTTCAAAAAATTTCATCAAACAATTCCACCGGGAAGTGGCCCAAACGTCCATGTTCGGACGGTGCTCGGACGGAGAATGTTCGGACCTGAACATTCCTCTCATTAAGACAAACATGCATATAGCAAATTTTAATACATACATTCTTATTTATTTCCCGAGTAAAAGATATTTTACTTTTTTAGTTTTATTATACTACGTAGAATGTAAGAAAAGTATTTAACGGTGCCGCTTCTTCTCCATGACATCTAAAGAGCACAGGTACCGAAAAAATGCGGATATCTAATTCAATAGTCATATGACCTGATACTTGTGTAAAAAAAATACTACGTACCACGTAACATTTTTTGGGAATCAACGGTGATATATACGGAGTATAAGACAATCAGCTTTATTGATGTCATCTTTTCTGCTTCAACTAAAGAAATGATGAAGTAGAAAATGAATTTGTGGATATGAGAGCCTTTAAAAGAACATAAAGAAATTAGCATTTACAAATTTTAAGCACAGTCTAAATGACATTATATTATTTAATTGTGAAAATCAACCAGCAAATAAATGCCAGTTTTGATAGTGAGGGAGTACTCACTAAAAATCTAGCATTACTATATGGGAAAACTGTCAAATAGGTCCTCGAACTTTCATAAAAAGGTCAATTAAGTCCTTCTATAGGAGGTTCTGTCCGGCCGTCGCGATTTGGGGCAGTTTCCGATGAAATTTTTTGATGAAATTTTTTGAGCATCTTATTCACTAAGTCTAGTTTACTCATACCAAATTTCAGCTAAAAATTCAATCGGGAACACATTCAAATTAATTCTTGAAGATAACTGCGCATTTTTGCGTTCTCGAATTAATTTGAATGCGCTCCCGATTAAATTTCTAGATGAAATTTAGTATGAGTAAACTAGACTTGATGAATAAGATGCTCAAAAATGCTCATCAAAAAATTCCACCGGGAACCGCCCCAAATCGCGACGACCGGACAGAGTCTCCTATAGAAGGACTTAATTGACTTTTTTATGAAAGTTCGAAGACCTGTTTGACAGCTTTCCCTTACTATATATGGGCTCCTCGAAAACGTTATCAAATACATTGAAATTTGAAGAACTTTTACTACTTTTGCAATGTATAATACATTGAAGAACTTTTATAATACATTGAAGAACTTTACTACTTTTGGAGAAAGTGTCACTGTTTGGCACGGTCTGGACACTGTTTGACACTGTTTGCATTGTATTGCACCTACTGTTTTGTTTACTAAATAAAGACAGACGACATTTTTAAGGGATAGACCGAAAAGGAAGGTGAAATATTTTTTTAGGGACGGAGAAAGTATATTACACCAACCTTTACCAAATATCAGACATTTTGATGTTGAAGCAATGAATTCTCATTGCACCACCCTAAACCGGCTACTCAATAGTATTAGTAGGCTTAAGGTTATTATTTGACTTTGGAAGCTGCTACCCCAAAATATCAGACATTTTGATGTTGAAGCAATGAATTCTCTGAATTTCCTTTTTTGATTGTCTTAGTAAAGGTTCTCATTTCTATGTCACGAAATAATTCACATTTTTAATGATAATTTAATCATCAAATACTAAAAACAATACATCTTTAACACCACCGTCATATTCAATGACCCTATTATATTATATACTCAACAAAACTATTTCTCAAAATGTACTTGAACCATCGGTTACGAAAAATAAGGACTAATATCTTCAAAAAAGGTTGATTACACCAATTTTTAGAAAAAAAATATAAAGTGTTTAGTTAGTTTAAGAAAAAAAATAAACCACGGATAAAATTTAGTGGATAAAAATAGGCATTGAGCATTGTCATGATTATACCTGTTTCCAGATAAATGAATTACAAAAGTGTGTAGTTAGTTTCTTTAAAAAAAATATATAAGATGGATGATATTTAATGGATAAAAAAGGCATTGAGCATTTTCTTTCCTTGTTTAGGTAAATATAGTTGAAAAGATTAATTTCATTTAGATACAATTGAGAGTTACAAAAAATGCTCTTTTCATAAGAAAATGTAGATGGGAAAATATTTAGATAATTAGTTAAAAGGGCTCTTTTCATTAGAAAATATAGACGGAAAAATCATTCTAATAATTATTAATTTTGTGTATGTTAAAGAAATATTAACCGAATTAGGGTCAGGTTAAAAGTATTTCCCAAAATATTACTAAGTTAAACCCTAGTGAAGACAACCGCAACTTAAAGTGGCGGTTTAAGAAAAGAACAGACCAAAGAGGAGAATATTATTTAGGGGTCCCATCAAAATAAAATCCCATTTTTATAAGTGCTATAATTTTTTAATTATACTCCGATTGTTACAAAAAAATTATACAAATTTATCACTTTTTATTATTTCTCAATTGACATCAATTGAAAATATTTTGAAGTGTTAAAATGTTTTTGTATCTTTATATATTTATACCGGTGTGTAAATAAAAAAGTTATATTACTTTAAAAAATACTTCCTCCGTCCCAGAGAGAAATTCTCGGGTTGACTTTCACACATATTTAGGAAATAAAGTTACTGAGGGGTAAATTTTACTGTTTGGCACTATTTCGACACTGTTTGACACTGTTTCGACACTGTTTGGCACTGTTTTGCACTGTTTGACACTGTTTTGATGTAGAATAACTTTCCATTTAGGGAAATGGGAACTTTTTGTTGGGACTACCAAAAAAGAAAAGTGAGAACTTCTCCCTGGGACGGAGGGAGTAGATGTTTTTGAAAGTGTTAAATTACATTTTATTTTTGTATATTCAATATTGATGTCATTTGAAAGATAATAAAAAATCATGATTTTTGATATATTTTTCGTAATAATTGGACTACAAATAAAAAAGTTATAAAACTTGAAAAAAAATGGGACATTTTATTTTGATAAGACATTAAATAAAAAGATTGTTGGTAATATTTAGGATTGCTCCAAGATCCCAACGTCCATGTCTGATTGGGAGTTCTTTAATTGGAGCTTTAAGAATTGCTTTTATAATAAGATATACGTACATATTATTTTTTGTTTAAAACATTAATTATGAATTGCTTAGAGCATAACATGTGGCAACACTTTCCTTAATTGTAACCTTCAAATGTATTATCTATAGATACGGAGTTTTAATTTACAAAATATTACTAAAATAAAATATATTTATACAAATATGATTATTAGTTACTACAATGTAGTATTATAGTAACTTAAGTTTACAAATTGAACACAAGTTACTGTGATATCATAACTACCCTAACCACTAATCACATTTTTGTAAATAGTATGTGTGTAAATCATAAATATACAATTATTTCTTTAAATAATAACTTAACACAGTAGTAGTTATAATCATAGGTAAAATTGTAAAAAGATATGTTGAATACGGAGTATATCTTTATTTTTGTGAAAGGCTCTATTGAATACGGAGTAAATCTGAAATTGACAATGACAGAAGGATCAATTATGCACTCAATGTTTTGTAACAACATAATAAAAATCCGATAGTGATGAAAATAGTTAACACACCCGTACATAGTTTATTAGTTTTTGTAATGGAAGATCTTCAGTTCGCTAAAGAAACAAAATAAGGTTTTCTTTTTTAACAATAAAATAGGTATCTAAGGAAATAAAATCCATCACTGAAAAAATAAAGTCCTTTTCATTAAAAATCTCAACCACATTTGATTTCTCACTGAGATACATGCTATTAGCAAGCAATGTGATTACAATTGGAGTTTGTACTCCATTGAGATACAGTAATGCAAATGACTCGCCCTGGCAAAACAAAGAGTGCTGGCGGGGGGCTAAACACCAAACATCAAATCCATAACTTTAGACACTACAGACTTGGTCGGTGTCGCAACGGCTCCAGCAGAATGTTTAGCACTGTTGCTGCCATTCTGGACGTAATTGTGTGGTTGTGATGATGATGATGTTCTGAAGTAGTGGCTAGTATCTGGGGTGGACGTTTTACTTGACGATCCTGTTGCAAGGGGAGGTGGTAAAGGTACAAAACCTTGATGATTGTTGTTGAGCCTGTCATTCAATGCATGACGTTGCATTGGATCCACATGTTTCACTCCAATGATCAGAACTCCGTTTATTTGCATCCCATTTTTGCTAAGAGCTTTCTGAGCATCAGCATGATTCTGCACCAGAAGAAGAAATTATAACAGCTCAGTTAATATTGAACGGGATGTTACTCATAAGGAGAGCATATCATATATGATATAACCTAATCGCTTGTAGTTTAGTCATATTTGACAGAAGTGCGCCTTTTTAAAATTTTGGTAGGCAACAACTACCATAAGCCCTGGGTATGGTTAGGGTATTTTGGATTTGTTTTAGTAATTTGTTCTCACTTTTGATAGCTAGAACTAGAAAGTGATGGTGAAAATATCTATACAAACATGAATTAGGTACACATATAAGTCATAAGTGCTTCTAGCGTAAGACTAACAAACAAATTAAATCAGTCAAACCAAAGCCAATCTTTTGATCCCCTTCTAAATCGTGAATTGCATTTATGTCTAGTCACTTGTTTTGGAAAATTTCAGAAAAAAATACTTTGCTTGATCAAGGAAGACTTCCTTTCCTCAACTACGTCTCTTGTTGTAGGGACAAAGGGATTCATAAGGTTATGCAACGGGCTAGAGTATAACTTCACTAAAATTGGATATAGGCTGATGATGGAATACATGTTCAGAACATAGCAATGAAATCAACATGCAGACACAAAACAAATAAGCTAGAAACATGCAAGTAACTAAAGCTATGGATCGTTAAACACTTAAACCATGACAAAGGCAAGCTAGAAACATGCATCCTATTAAAGAAATTCCTGACAGGGGATGGTAACTTCTAAATGACAGGAAATTTCAGGTTATTTTGGCTTCAAAGCATTGTTAAGAACCAGCAGGAAACTCTCATGAAAATTTCCAAATATAGTGAGGGTTAAATCAAAATAACAAGATGAATATACAATGACAAGTGGGACAGATAAAGACCTGGTATAGAATGTGCATCCAATTAGCACCACGAGGACCAGGAATGTGTCTTAAGATTAGACCACACTTCTCAAACTCTCGCAGAACTAAATTGGTGTCAGCTGGAGAAAACCTGCAAAATGATGATTCATAAGTTCATACCACAATGGTGAAAATATTATGCACAGATATGGAAATGTAAAACCTATGGCATAGACATGTGTGAGATGTTATGAGATACATACAGCTCTAACGCTTAGAAGCTATAGGGCAGATATATCACATTATAAGAGGCAACAATGTCCCTTGACAACTTCCCACAATTGTATTCCTACTTTGTAGGAAGAGAAATGCAAATGGCAGCACACTACAAACTTGAACAAGTGCAGAAGAGAAACATCACATAAGAAACTCTACACCTTTTACGTAAGGGCCTATTTGGATGGGTGGGTTCGGAGGGATGGACTATACATAGATAGGTACTGCAATATACAGAGTAATACACACAAAGCCCATCCACAAACTGACAGAGACTACAACAACTCATCCAAGCCGACTCAAAGAGGATACATAGTTACATCACTTACATGCAGTATCAAACCATCCCAAAAAATAAAATTGTTTTATGCCACCCTCAACATACAAAATTATTTAATACGGAGTATATAACAACCTTATTGCTATTCTCACACCACAATTAAAAGGTGTTTTTAATAATCATCAAACAATATCAAATGTCTATAAAAAGCATCACAGCTGCAACCTTAATACTGCAAATAAAGAATGAATGACCATCAACACAACGACTGATAGACATACCCATAAACTGTAACCCACTCTTCCTCATCCAAGTTACCAAAGGGTATAGAATTCATCTTCATCTCCGGCCTTGCGACTTCCCTGGGTGGAGGTAATGTTATCAAAGCACCAGGCTGAACCACGCCTTCCACAGGGGAACCCTTCCCCTTATCATCTGGTTCAACACTATGCCCACCCTTGGCAGGTGACCACCAACTCGAGCTCGCAATGCCACTATTTTGACTCTGATTCTGCTCTCTGTTTTCACTTAAAACATGTCCATTACTTGCATCGGGCTTTTTGCTCCTAGGAGTCCAAAAATCCCTACCCGCACTCTGAATCGGCGTTCTAGGGTCTGATTTGCCCTCCGACGACATAGGATATTCCGGAATTCCAGATTCCGGAGAGCAGTCAGATCGGTCTTCAAGTGTGAACACAGGTGGGGGTGGGAGATCGGTGTTCGAGAAATTCTCTCGCCATAGAGCCGAAACAGCCGCTGCCTGACCTGGTGTGGTATATCTTCCAGAGGACTTCCGAGAAGAAACCGGCGTACCTAAATCCTGGAAAAACAATGATTGTCTCGTGCTTTTCGGCGTTCTCTGCACGGCTGAATTCATTTCTCTATAGTCTACCTAGAAAGTAAGATACACTCAGCCGTGGCACTCATACAAGCCGAAAGAAGCAATGTTGCTTACTTCGTCAGCTACCAGAAAACATAAACTGAAGATGGAGCGAAGAAAATGAAATACCTGAGATTGGATATGGAAGAAGGTGAATTGTTCGAACGGAAGGCCAGAATACGCCGAAGGAAGCTTGCGGGAAAAATGTGACGATTCAAGGTGTTTTCCTCTTCCAGAAAGAATTAGAGTTGGGCTTGAGTCCAAGGTATAATTTGAAATCGAGCCCGTTTTGTTAACCCGGAAGCTTATTACGGAGTACTACCTAAACCCTAATCTTGACATTTACTTGTGTTAAATATTCTTATTGTTTTTATTATTATTATTATTGTCATTGCTTTTTTTGGAAGAAAATAGCTTAAATTAATATCACAACATTCAGATATGGGGTAAAATGACAAAAGGACAGCATGCAACCGACAACCTCGAACCAGATCAATCACCTTCAAAACAGAAATATGACTCGTTGATCCTATAATGGACAAATAAATGAGCCAACAACGGTAAAAACATGTCTTCCATCACTCAATCATAATGCAAGAGTTTTACAACAGTAAAAATAATCCACACTAAAGTAAATATATAGTCTGATCATGAAAAATAAATAGCAAGCAAACAATAAATTTAAAACGTCGCTTCCAAAACCTACTCTCCTGCACTTCATGGTGGCGGTTCAGGATGGGGACGGCCTAGCAGTACTGTAGCTGCTTCCTCTCTTTGCCTCTTATTCATCATATTCTCCACCTAGCCTCCTTTGTCGCCTAACACGGATGACCTCGAACCCAAGTCTGTTCCAGCCCCTAGCCCCACGCTTCGTCGATGAACTTCTGATCTCAAGCATGAACGGCATCCTCGAAACTCTCCCCAGCTACTGCGAGGGGTGCACAAACTTTGGCCACCATATAGACGTTGCACGCTGCCGAAGAAGAAAGCATCACGAATGGCGGATGAAAACCGCACAAGAATGTTGCACTTTGTCGAAGAGGAAATCGGAAAAAAGGACCCCTAAACCTAGGGGAGGCGGCCGCTCCTTGGTAGAAGCAGTGGCGGAAAAACTATTGTAAGTCAAATTCTACTATTATTATTGCTAATACTATAATTATCATACTCCATTATTGTTTATTGAAAGTCAAATTCTACGATACCTTTAAAGTATTGTATCGTGTACGCATAAATTAATGAGAATATTGAAATTGAGTAATTCACATTTAAATAAAAGATATAATAATGGCCTGAATCAATGAAATGCATTGTATATACAGTACTAATAGGTGGTTGTCAGGAGAAGGAGATTGCAAGGTTCATATCCCTCCTCTGAGTGGAACCAGTGATATGAACGTGGTGACCCTTATGACGGAAGATGGAAGAAATTGGAATGTAAAGCATGTGAAAGAGATTTTCTCTAAAAAGGATAGCCAGGTCGTTTCAGGAATTCCATTGAGCAAAAATAGGATGTTAGATGGGTACTGGTGGCGCATTGATTAGCATGGTTGATATAGTGTAAGAAATGGGTGTCAGCACTGCAAATGGAGATTACTTATGTAGGCCAAGTAATCTAGAGTGGACATCTATGTGGAAGTTGTTTATTCCATGTAAAATTAAATATTTTTGTTGGCATATAATGAGTGGGACTCTTCCCACTGCAAATAATTTAATTGAGAGAAGAGTTGTGATGGGGTGGATTGCGCTTTGTGTGCTGAATTCCACTTGTTCCATGAAAGTATGGTCAAAGTTGGGGTCTAGTTTTGTGAGGCCGAGAGATTCATTGGAAGGATGGGCACAACGCTTGTTTAGCCATTTACAGGAGACATAATTATGTTTGTTGAGTATATGGAAAACTCGGAAAAGTCGTTTGGAAGGGTAAGGGATTCAACTGGCGTCAATTTATAGCGATTGGAACCTCGACATTACAAGGTTGGCGGAAGGCTCAACAAGGGAGTAAAATAATGACGCATGACAGGATCATGACAATGAAATGGAGCAAGTCGTTGGAAGGGTATGCGAAGATAAACGTGAATGCAACTCTTGATACTAGAAGATGTAAACGGGTCTGGGGTTGGATAGTAGGGGGATTCAGGTGGTAACTTTTTTAAAAGAGGGTGTCAAAAATGCACGACTAGCTAGTCAGCGAGTGTGACTGAAGCTATTGGGGTTCATGAGGCTCTAACGTGGGCAAAAGAACAAGGGTGATTGAGACTAATGGTGGAGACCAATTCACTTATAGTTGTTTCAAGATTGCAGGATGAAGATGATAATTCATATCTAGACACTATTATTGAGGATATTAGGCATGTTATTTCTGATGAAGTCAACATCGAAGTTAACCATTGCAAGATGTTCGCAAATAGGGTGGCTCATTATGTTGCTCGATAAGCCTTATCAAAGTCAGATGGTTTGCCATTATTTCATTCTATACCTGGTTGTATTTTGAACCAACTGCCTAACGATTGTTTGAATTAATAGAATGTGTGTGTGTGTGTGAAGTTTTACTTTCAAAAAAAATATGGGATATTGTAGCATTCATCTTTTTGCAATAATTCTGAAATACTTTTATTAATATTATGCAGTATACAATAGTTTTTCTTTAAACACACATAAATAATCTTGGGTTTCATGCATAATGGTAGAGTGGTTGTATCCACAACCTCCGTTATGCTAAATACACTCACTTACATAAATTCATAAAGATATAAACATTAATCAAGGTAAGGTTATCTTGGGTATAAATATTTATTGGTGTACATCAAAGCTTTATGGAGTTGTACCATGTGGTTGAACCATTGTACTGCTTGTATCTCCTTGTTTAATTTATTTGTCAACAAACTACATTGTTTTGCTAGTATTGTCACACGAGTTTGAGCGGATGAAGTGATTAGGGTTAACTAGGATCCAACTGAGAACCCACTTCGTCCTACTCTGAGGGAGTGGCACTAGAGTTTATCATCGGCTCTAATCCCCTTTTATCTTCTCCCGCTCATGTAAGCTAATATTTTCATTCAACACCTATAATCAATAGTCACTATCTCGATAGCAAATCGGTTATAATTACTGTTGCAGATGGAAAATAAAAAGGTGGTGGCCGCCGCATGAGAATCAACGACGACTGGATTAATCTTGAAACTACTGAAAGGTGAAAGCAATTAAGGAACCTCGTTATAGTGCAACAAGTTATTGGTTTGAATTAGAAAACACAATAGGTCCCGTTTTTTAGGTAAGAGCATGGATATTAATCATTCTATCTTACTAAGTTATGGTTTCTCCTTCTTCCCTTCGAAGATTTTATTATGTTAAAACATGTAGGTTCAATATAAACATATAGAATTTGAAATGTTATTCATTGACCATGAATGATTGACTACACCCAAGATGTTTTTTTGTTAGTTGTGCTTAGTTCAGAATGACCAGCATAGCTCTGTGATCTCAATTATTTACTCATCAAAGTAAATAACTTTCAATTGATTACTCATTTTATTTGCTAAAACAGGACTACTAAAGTCTGTTTCTATTGCCATTTTCAAGTCAAGGCTGGCTTTTTTTATGACATGTCGTGTCTTTGGAAAATGATGATACATATAGTGAAAATAATATGTGTGAGTTTAGAAAAGACTGATTATTGAAAAAATGTTTCTAGAATTATTACTACAGAAACTCCCAGAAGTGGCATAAGTCGTGTCTTTATGAAAATTTAGTTCAAAATGGTTCGAACAAGTTTTCCCAATATTAGGTAACAGAATAAGTAAAATATTTAATAAAAAATCTGCATAGTTGAACTTTGTTTCCAAATCCCAACTATCTCCAATTTGAAAGGCTATAAGGTACATTTTTCCTTAATTACCTCCTAATATTTACTCCCAACAAATTATATTTAGTTGGGTGGGCTCCTAACGACAACTCTACAATTTTTATAACATCACTTAGGGACCGTTTGATGGTCCTCGTTGCCAGCTTATCAGCATTATCAGACAACATTTTACAAAACACATAAATTTTGTATTTCGTGCATTTTATAATTTAATAATTAAAACAAGTAAGGTTGTAGTAAATTTTCCATCTAAATTGGCTAAATTCAGTGTAGATGACTATTTTAGACATTTTCAAATAATTTAATCTTTAATTTACTAATAAAATACATTTTAAATATTTTTTCTTAATTCAGCCAAACCAATCACTTCAGCTGATTTTCATAAATTTCAGCAGATTCAAACAATTCAGTTGATTTCAGAATTACCAAATGGGCTCATGGGGATGAAAAACACGGAAGCAAACATTAATGTCACTATTCTTTTTAGTGTTGACCATAAGAGATAAATGTAGATGAGTTGGTAAGCAAATAGCCGACTATACAAGGAAACCTCGAGGGTCTTGAATACCAAATTGGGCCTTACATTGAAACCAACAAAATCAAGTCCAACCCCAAATGAAGGTTAGGAGAAAGTTCAGTTTATATATAAGAGAAAGCAAACGAAGAGACAAAGGGCAACTTGAAGAAGATATTTTTTAGAAAATTTATTAATCTAGAACGTGAAAGATTGATGAATTATCAACCTGATGCCCGAAAGATGAAATGTGTCGATATAGGGCCCGAAAGATTGAAATCTATCAACCTATGACCTATAAATTCATAGGTTTTAATTTATTTAATTTTTTATTATTTCCATTGCAAATTCTTGATGAGTTTATCTTCACAAGCGTTTATAAGTTTAATAAATTAAATAATATTTTATAATTTAAAATAAAAAATAATAAAGTTCATGACAACTTAGGTACTAGATTGATAGTATTCTATTACAAAAGCCCTATACGGACACATTTTATCTTTCATATCTCGGATTGATAACTCACTTATCTTTTGGGTCTTGAATTGATAAAATTCATATTTTTTATCCATGAATATTTAGTACTTAATGTCATTGTCTTTACTATATTTAGTAAAGTATAGAATATAGTTGTCTTGCCGATATCTGGTCATAGTTTTAGCATACCTAAATATGAATCTGTTAAACTGGCATGATTCATTATTTATCACCCAGTCAAGACCCAGAGACGGCCTTGATAGTTTCAAGGCCTAGGGGCAAATAATTTATAATGGGCCTAATTTTAACAAAAATTAAAAAGATATTTTTGTCTAATCTAATGCATAACAATAATACTTCAAAAATCACAATTAGACAAGTAAAATCATAGTTAGACAACATTTTTATTACACTTTGACATTTATTATATATA